TCAACAAAGCTGAACACAGTTGGAGATCTGAATAGCATTTTGACATCAGGCATGGAGCTGCAGTGTTTAGAGTTTGTGCCACTGGTTTTTGGTTTGTTTTGATTCAGTATTTCCTCATTATGCTCATTTCCCTGCATTTTGGAGTGGCTATGTATATCCTGTGCCATTACATGTTAAAGTGTATGATCTTTTTTAATCTTGATTTTTACAGGGGGATTACAGTTAAGAGATTGCCATGCATCTCAGAAGAGGATTTGAACTTTGAAGCAAATTTGAGACTGTTACAGACTATGGGGACTTTTGAATACATTTTTTTTTTGCATTATGATATGTCTATAAGCTTTTGGGGGTCAGGGAGTGGAATGTAGTAGTTTGAAAGAATATGGTCTCCAAAGGGAGTGGCATTATTAGGAGGTGTGGCCTTATTGGAGGAAGTGTGTCACTGTGGGGGCAGGCTTTGAGGTTTCTTCCTCAAGCTTCCCTCAGTGTGACTGTCAGTTGATTTCCTGTTACCAGAAAGATATAGGACTCTCAGTTCCAGCAGCATGTCTGCTTGCATGCCACCATGCTGTCATGATGATGATGGACTGAGCCTCTGAAACTGTAAGTAAGCTACCCCAATTAAATGTTTTCTTTATAAGAATTGCCATGGTCATGGTTTCTCTTCACAGCAATAAAAACCCTACGACAGACCTGAAGCTCTCTGATCAGGCTAGCAAGCTGGCTAACAAGCCTCCACAATCTGCTTGTTTGCACCTTCTCAGTGCTAGTATCATAAGTATGTATTACCATATCTGGCTTTTACATGGATGCTAGTGACTGAGCCCTCATGATTGCATGGCAAGCACTATACCAACTGAGCTATGTTCCCGCCCCCTCCCCCATTTACAGTATTTTAATGTTAATTCTTAAACTCTTGACTAAAAAGCCATTACAATTCCTTTACTCTCCCTTCTAAGGCAATAAAATACTTAGAACATTTTAACACCAGTCTTTTCTCAGTCTTCTGTTATACTGCTTCCTAGACTTAATTATATTATTTTAAACTCTTCTACAATTAGTCTTTAAAACTGCTATTTATTCCATATACCATTTTCTATTTATGTTATTCTTTTTATTTTAAATTCATTGTCATTAATCACAATGTAGTTCCTGCCCTAGTCTCTTTTCTGAGTTATTATACCAATAATTTCTAACTATAGAGAACACTGATTTAGTTATTATTTTTGGTCCATATTCTCTTACCACTATTTCATACTTCACACATATTAATGAGCCTTCAAACAGAGCCATTACCAAAGAAATGTTAAAAAATAAATATTTTTATATAGGCTAAAATAAATCTAGAAATTTATTTCTAAAAGTCAATAGATATCTGAAGAGACTCATTAGAACGTAATTCACAAAATGAAACTTGCTAAATGGCCCTTTTATAGATGTAGGTCTTTTCTTTTGCCTTAAAGATTCAAATAATGTATAGTAGCCAAGCATTCTATATCTGGCAAATTACAGATGGAAAAAGTTCTTCTTCTTTACAGACATAATAAATAAATTAGTAGACATGCTAGACGATGTACATAAACTACTGATCTGAAAGAATAATGATCAGCTTGGCATACTTATGAAACATTTCTAACCAATGAAACCAATATTAACTGATCACAATATAAAAATCAAATAAAAAAACAGAGTTCAGAGCTTACAAGAACTGACTTGAAAAATAGAAGATGGCATGGTATAGCAGAAACTACAGAAACCTAGCTCATTTTTAATTATGACAAAAAATACAGAACACAGGCAACCTACCTATTATCACTCAGAAAAGATGGCAAGGCCCTAAATAAATTAGGCCTCCATACTGTGAATAGTGTTGTAGCAGGATGGGTGCAGGGGAGTGCTAGACGAGGAGGCATGCAATTGCCTACTTGCAGATTTACAGATTTTCCCAGCTGAACTGTCTGGAGTACTCTGGTTATCCAGAGGAAAAGAGAAAACATGAGGGCCTTTCACTGACTAACTAACTAAAATAAATACAACCAAAAGATTAGACAACTGGTTTTTAATCATTAAAATGTTGTGGAGGAAAGTCCATCCCTGCAGCTTCAGTGAGAAGACAGACAGTTGTTTTGTTCCTGAGCAAAAAGGCAAGCCCCAATAGCTCTGCCATTAAGGTGACACAGAACCCACAGGGAGTATTTTTTCAACAAGGATTAAAGGATGCCTTTAATGTGCCTGAGACATTGCTTGAGGAATAGGAAGGAAACACCAAAGTCTCTCTACTTAGGATCTGACTATACCAATTGAACACTTAACTATGCCCAAAGACCAGAAAGCAATTATTAGCAGTATCAAGCATTCCAGGGAAGGGAGAATCCTGGGCCAGAATGTTCACACAAGGACTGAGTAACAACATGTGGTCTATATCAAAAGCACCCACTTACTTACTGTTCTCACACAACGCCCCAGGAAATACACTACACATTCATTTTTCCTTATAATAACCCAATCCCCATTCTACAGATGAAGGTGTTAACTCAGAAAGGATAAACAAAGAGCTGAGCATGGTAATGTATAACTTTAATCCCAGCACTCAGGAGGCAATGGCAGGTAGATCTGTCAGTTTGTGGCCAGCTTGGTCTACATGGTGATTTCTAGGCTAGCCAGGACTGCATAGTGAGACCTCATTCAAAAAAAAAAAAAGGAAAGGATGAACAAAAGTTATACATGTTGCTCAAGGCAGAATTGAGTATTCAATCCCTGGTCTGACATGAAAACCAAGGGTTTCTTTGTTTTTTGTTTTTGTTGTTGCTGTTTTTGTTTTTAAGACAGGGCTTCTCTCTGTGTAGCCTTGGTTGCCCTGGAACTTGCTCTGTAACCCATGCTGGCCTCAAACTTACAGAGATCCACATGTCTCTGCCTCCTGAGTGCTGGGATTAAAGGTACCACCACTACCCAGCTAAAAAAGCTAAGTTTTATCAGTTCTCCTTATAGCTCGTTCTATTGTAGTAATGGAAGAAAAGGTTTTCAACGGGGATCTTAAAACATTTTATAATTGCAACTTTGAGAATGTTGATCTGCAATTACATTCTGAGAATAAAAACAAAAAGTAACCTCCTTTTGTTGTTGTTTTATGTGCATTGGTGTTTTGCCATAGGTGTCGGGTCCCCTGGAACTAGAATTACACAGTTGTGAGCTGCATGTGGGTGCTGGGAATTGAACCCAGGACCTCTGGAAAAGCAGTCAGTGCTCTTAACAACTGAGCCATCTCTCCAGCCCCAGTTTGGTTGTTTTTTTCTTTATTTTTGTTTTTTCAAGACAGGGTTACTCTGTGTAGCTTTGGAGCCTATCCTGGCACTCACTCTGTAGACTAGGCTGGCCTCCAACTCACAGAGATCTGCCTGCCTCTGCCTCCGGAGTGCTGGCATTAAAGGCGTGCTCCACCAACGCCCAGCTCAGCTCCAGTTTTGGTTTTTTGTTTGTTTGTTTGTTTTATGAAAAAGTAACCTTATATCTGTTTACTCCCTCTTCAATACCCAACCAGAATGCTATTTCTTGCAGAACTCCTTCCTAGCTAAATATGGCTTGGCTGGGGGTGGGGGTGGCAGTGTCTTTCTCCAAAGGTCTCCAGATAAACACTACAGTCCTTTATGAGTAATCCCCAGAGCCAATGAGCTTTGGAAACTCAAGTTTTTCTCCTAAGTTTGCAGAAAGTTCTTTTGGTGGCAAAAGATAAGCTGGTCTAAAGTGAAACTCTGTTGTAGCCTTTACTTACTACATTTAGTGTGAATATTCATATTCTGATGCAGAAATAATAATGGATGTAACTAAAGGATATTGTCCAGAGTACTGTGGCTATTATAATGCATATATGTATATGACTTGTTAAAATGCAGACATTTCTGGCTTGCAAGCCACATTTGGCCCCAAAGTGTTTCAAACAAGGAACACTGAACTTACACCTTATTCATAAATTTCACTGTGCTGTAAACATTGTTTTTCTTTCATAGTGCTCCCAATCCAATCTAGGGCATTGAGAATGCCAGGTAAGCTGCTATACCACTGAACCACACCATCAGCACCATTCATCCATTTTATGTAGGCACAGCACTTTGTACAATGTCTTGAATATAAAAGCAACAAAATAAGTATTTCCTGAGTGAGGAGCCAAGGTTGAGAAATCAGCTGAGAAGAAAAAAAAATGGTTTGGAAATGACCATGGGTCTCCAACTTGTAGGTCAAGCCTCAAACCACCAACTGCTACTTCCTTCTTTGACTCTGAAAGCCCTAAAAATAGCCACCATTGATTGAAGGCAAGCAATATAGCTGCTGTCTTCACTGGAAACAAAAATAGCTCAGTGGTCTTGCACTGGGGATTCACATGCAACTTTCCAAGTACAAAGCATAGCAGGCATATTCATACCTGAGATCATATGCTTAGCTTTACAGCTGCACAACCTTGATGTTGATGCTATGTGCTCAGGAGTTTTGTTAGCTGCAAAGTAGCAAGCAGAGTGGGTCATAGGGCCTTCTGAGGTAGATGTCTACCAAGGTACATGGGAGAGACAGTAGCAGTTGCCCACACTCAGGCAGATACAGGCCTTAGTTTTTGTTTTATGTTTTCCATTCCAGTCTACTGTCCCCAGAGTTCACTGTTCTTAGTGTGCTCTATTCAACCTAACACACTTCTTTCTTCCAAAAGAAGCGCTCAGGAAGGAGATAGAGGGGGGCGTTCTGATTTAAAAAAAAAAAAAAGGTTCAAGAACTCTGAAAAACAGCCTCAGTAGTTGTTCAAAGACCAGAAAGACTGACTTGTGAGTAAAAAGAAAAGGAATAGCAATGAGGAAGGAGGCTAATACCTGGCTAGCAAGGACTGGACTAAAGTTGAAAACCTCTTAACTAACTGCAAACACTCAGGTCTCAAGAGTGGAGAGAGGCCTAGGGGAGAATGACTCATATCAGAGGGCAGTTTAAGGCGTTCTCTCGGACTGGTCTTCGTTTACCTGGTAACACAGGATGGTTTGCTGCACCAGCCTCGCGTATCCGTCCAGGCGGACTCCAGAATTGCTCCTGCTCCGCATCTCGCCCACGCTCACGGGCCGCGGCGCAGAATCTGCCCGGTGGTGTCTGCCAAAGTTGCAGCCTCCAAGCCGGCCTTATCTCCACACACTCAGCTTCAGTGAGTGCTCCGAAAGGGGGTGGGCAGGAGGAGGTCAGGACTTTTCAAAATGATAGAACCAAAGTATGATTTGCAAGGCAGGCCAACCAGAGTTTTGCACCGCTGGGCGGTGCGGGGGAGGAGACCGGGGTGGCGCTAT